AAAGAGCCTTTAATAAAAAGACTTATGTCCTCCTTAACCTTAATATATTATTTAGTGTTCTCAAAGCAGGTCGCTTCACTTCACTTATTCTTTACTTAATACTCACACAGACTTGATTTAGACATCTACTTGTTTATAACCTGTGAGAATAGTCACAACACTCTCAAACCAAAACATATGTCAATCTCAATGCATTATTTATGTCCTATCTTTAATAATACTTTGACTAAATATAATTTAAGAATGGTTAATGTCTGCTAATTAAAATCTTACATTCAAGATTTTCATTTGAAAACTAATTTATATTGAATCCATTCTATGCACGTTACCTTTAATTAACCATTAAATTTAAAATTCTATTTATGTAGATTATGTATGTTTATTTTTCAATTGATCTAATAGATTCAACTAATTCATTGATTATGTAAAATTTAAAAATATTAAATATATATGTGAATAAAGTGTTTTTAATTAAAGAATTATAAGTATTAGATCAATTTGAAATTAACATTTATGATTTCAATAAATAAAATATTTAATGTAATAGTTGGTTTTTTAAAATATTAATTCTAAGTTAAGGTTTTAAACTAGTTCCCAAAAAATATTTGGACAGATGATCTACACTATAGTAATTTTTTATTATTGTTAGGTTAAAACCCCTTTTTGGTCCCTGAACTATTGTACGGACCCCCGATTTGGTCCCTAAACTAAAAAAATTCTTGATTTGATCCCTACTGTTTACCATTTTTACCCCGATTTGGTCCTTCCGTCAAATATCAACCTACGTGTCCCGTTACTTGACGGGAAAATGACGACATGTAAAAACATTTTGACACCTAGGATGTACAGTGTGACAAAAAAATGAGATGGCAAGGAAAAAATCTTAAAAATTTTGTTATTCCTTTTTTTTTTTCTTTGTTTGTTTTTCCTTTTTCCCTTTCTTCTTCCTCTGCCTTTCCTTTAACCTTCTGTTTCCTTTAACCTTCTGCAAACCCTAACTCCTAAAATTAAATTTGAAAATAACACAACAAATCAACGGATTAAACTCAATAGATATTTGACCCAATGGCTGCTGGGTTCGAAACGAAACCCAGAGCCTCAAACCCACCGCCTGACCCAGCACCTGCAAACAAACCTGCAAACAAACCCAGCACCTGCAAACAAACCCAGCACCTCCAAACGAACCCAGCACCTCCAAACGAACCCAGCACCTGCAAACACCTAGCATTCGAAATTGAAAAATCGAACCCAACACCTGCAATAACCCAGCAACTGCCTTGCCCTCTTCATCTTCATCAATCAATTTTTCATCACAATCAAACAACAAAATCCAAAAAACAAAAACAGAAATTTTTTTTTAAAAATTTTTTGCACCTGGGTTCTTAGCGTGCTGGGTTTGTAGGAACCCAGACGCGAACCCAGCACGCTTGGGTTCCTTGTGTTCGCAAGGAACCGAACCCAAGCGTGCTGGGTTCCACCAAACCCAAGCATGCTGGGTTCGGTGCGAACCCAGACGCGAACCCGGCATGCTTGGGTTCCTTGCGAACCCAGCGCCTGGGTTCACAAGGAACCCAAGCGTGCTGGGTTCCACCAAACCCAGGCATGCTGGGTTCGGTGCGAACCCAGACGCGAACCCAGTATGCTTAGGTTCCTTGCTCGCAAGGAACTGAACCCAAGCGTGCTGGGTTCCATCGAACCCAGGCAAGCGTGCTGGGTTCGGTTCCTTGCGAACCCAGGCGAACCCAAGGAACCCAGCGCCTGGGTGGGTTCGAAGGAACCCAGG